ACATATATATATATATATACATATATATATATATATATATATATATATATATATATATATATATATATATATATATATACATATATATATATACACATATACATATATATATATACACATATACATATATATATATATATATATATATATATATATATATATACATATACATATATATACATATATATACATATACATATATATATACATATATATATATACATATACATATATATATACATATACATATACATATATATATATATATACATATACATATATTATATATATATACATAAATATTATATATATATACAAAAATATATCCATATATGTACATATATCCATATATGTACATATATCCATATATGTACATATATACATATATGTACATATATCCATATATGTACATATATCCATATATGTACATATATCCATAGATATACATATATCCATAGATATACATATATCCATATATGTACATATATCCATAGATATACATATATCCATAGATATACATATATCCATAGATATACATATATCCATAGATATACATATATCCATAGATATACATATATCCATAGATATACATATATATATATATATATATATATATATATATATATATATATATATATATAAATGGATAGATAGATATACAAATAACATATATACAATATATATAACATACATATATAATACATATATGTATATAAACTTATACATAATATATCCAAATATAACATACATACATCATATACCAATAAAGTCTGTATGCGTGTGCTTAAGTTCATAAAACCGCCCAGGGTTGCGCCTGAACGCCTCACATGACAAAGCGTCAGCGGAGGCATGCGCGCCAGAATCCCGCACCTGCGACGTCTGAATGATGACGAGGTCGTTCATGAGGGCGTAGCCAGCGCCCATGCGGCCCCGCAGACCCGCCGTCCCGAACACCATGCGGTGCACCATGATCTTCTCCAGCTGGTTCACGTCGCCCTGCCGCACCAGCTGCTCCACCTCGGCTCGTGTCCGCTCATTCTGGAACAAGAACGAGAGCCGGCTGGGATCTTGGCCAAATCCTTCAGTAAATAAGACATAACACGCTTGAACTCGCAGAGTGAAATCATCAATGCTTAACAGACCTTTTTTACATTCTGTTAAAAACCGTATTTCTGGCGGTATGTAACTGTTCCTACCCCTACTGTAACTGCCACGCCATTACAACTCGATCTTCTTCCACAACGGACTCTCTTCTTTACAATGTCTGCGTGACACTAGTTGCTATCTTCTTTAAATCTCAAGGAAATATATCCAAGCGATTTCTAAACTCCACACATGCACGAATCACTTTACTAGCGTACATCTCCCTCCATCATACACATGGGAAAAACTGTACGAAATGTATGGTCCTTGCATGTTTTCAACCATGACAGAGACAGAAATAAACTCATATAAATGTTGTTCCTGATTCATAGCAACGGCAACAAAAATAATGATGATGATGGCAATGATGATAATGAAAATGATAATAAAATATTAATAAATAATAACATAATAATATCAATGATAACAATAACAATAGCAGCAACAACAAACAAAATAAATTAGTATTAGTATTAGTAGTAGTAGTAGTAGTAGTAGTAATAATAATAATAATAACAATAATAATAAAAATGATATCACCAATAACATTAACAACAGCAACAACAAACAAGAATTAATATATAACAATAATAATAATAATAATAATAATAATAATAATAATAATAATAAATCTTAATTTAGTAACAATATCGCACGTTACGTCTGAAATTATGTAAAGTGAGAATGTTTGGCCTGAAAACATTTCCTGTGACCGCGAATCCACTGGAAACCTATTCTCACTCCCTTCTTCGCATTGCCATTATCATTGTCTTTGTTATTATCATTAACATGGTTGTTGTTAATATTGTCATTATTATGGTTGTTATTATCATTATTATGGGTGTTGCTATTATCATCATTATCATGGGTGTTGCTATTATCATCATTATCATGGGTGTTATTATCACCATTATCATGGGTGTTATTATCATTATTATTATTATTATTATTATTATTATTATTATTATTATTATTGTTATTATCATCATCATTATTTTTATTATGAATAATTGCTATTATCACTGCTATGTTGGTTGTTAACATGATAATTATTAGTGTTGTTATTATTTTTATCACTCTTTTTCGAGATAAAAATCACTGCATTGAAGTGCATAAATATTTATCATTTAAACGACAATTCGAGGGTAGAGCTAAAGGAAGGAAGATAGGAGGGAAAGAGAAGGGGAGGGGAAGAAAGGAGACTACAATGAAAGGAGGTAGAGGGAGGGGATAAAGGAGGAAAGGAGTGATGGGAAGAGAAGAGGCTTAATGAGAGAGGGGAGATGGAGAAGGGGAAAGGAAAAGGGATACGAGGGGACAAAGAGGAAAGAGAGAGGAAGGGAGAGTGGGCTCAGAAAAAAGAGGATGGAGGAGAGAGAGAAGGGGATAAGAGGACGAAGCAGTTGGGGAGATTAAGGAGGGGGGGGGGGGGGGGGGCAAGTGGGAGGAAGAGGGGGAACATTAGCAACAATATCAACAACAATAATAATTACAAATATTATCATTATTATTTTTAACAATAATGACAATAAAAATAATAAGAAAAAACAACAACAAAACAACAGCCTCAATAACAAGTAACGTAAAAGACAAAGACAACGGTAGCAGTTGCATAGAAAAAATGCAGTACGGAAAAATAAGTATTTTGGAAGCCTTCGGCGCTTTAGTTAAGAACAAGCTACAGAATACCAAGGGCAGAATTTCTAATGGTTACGAAAAAAAAACACGAAAAAAAAGTGTACCCATTAATAAAATAATTACAGCAATCTCAGATCGGTCTTATCATACAGCTCTGTTTCAAAGCTACTGAAATCTGCAAATCAGCAACATCATTCTTACTTCAAAAGGTTTAAATCACCCAGAGGGATAAGTGTCTCCTCTCCTTCGCATACTGCTGCCGAACAATGCCTCTGTTACCCAAGCGGCCCACGAAGGCAAGATGCTAGTACGGCCGTGACGTGCGTTAAACACGTTGGCGGGAGAGGGGGAATGTGTGTGACTGTGGAGGGGGGGGGGGGGAGGGAGGAGAATGTGTGACTGTGGAGAGGGAGAAAGAAAGAGAGAAAGAGAAAGAGAAAGAGAGAGAGAGAGAGAGAGAGAGAGAGAGAGAGAGAGAGAGAGAGAGAGAGAGAGAGAGAGAGAGAGAGAAAGAGAGAGAAAGAGAGAGAGAGAGAAGAGAGAGAGAGAGAGAGAGAGAGAGGAGAGAGAGAGAGAGAGAGAGAGAGAGAGAGAGAGAGAGAGAGAGACAGACAGACAGAGAGAGACAGACAGAAAGAGAGAGAAAGAGAGCACGTGAATGTACGTGTGCGGTCATGCACAAATGAGCACGTCGGCCATCCCCCTCACCCACATCCAGAGACTTCACCTAAAACAAGAAATCCTAAAACCGTGACAAATGGCTCCTCTCAAGGGATTATTTGGTGCCGTGCGTTTATTCCCATTGTTGTCCTACATGCACGTGTAACAACGGGTTCTGCTGTCTAATGCTACTAGCTCGTTACATGAGTATTGTGTGCACGGCGTACTGACTAGCAGATAAGATAAATCAACAATTCAAGATGATATAAAATACTGAAAGACAGACAGACAAACAATGAGAGAGAGAGAGAGAGAGAGAGAGAGAGAGAGAGAGAGAGAGAGAGAGAGAGAGAGAGAGAGAGAGAGAGAGAGAGAAAATGAGTGAGTAAAAGAGAGTGGAGATGGGTGAGCGAGTAAAAGAGAGTGAAGATGGGTGAGCGAGTAAGAGTGAAAATGAGTGAGTGAGTAAAACAGTAAAAATGAGTGAGTGAGTAAAAGAGTGAAAATGAGTGAGTGAGTAATAGAGAGTGAAAATGAGTGAGTGAGTGAGCGAGAGAAAGAAAAATAACAAAGGACGAAATATGCCAGGAATAGCCTACTTATTAACTATTGCCACACAAGAGAAACGTCGAGAAATAACACGCACGTTTCATCACAACACCAAACAAGCAACTATGCAACTACCCGCATAGACTCAGCGTCCTTATGTCAACGTAAATATATTCGTCAAAATGATACCGAGGATAATAGCAACCCATTATTTTCCCTCGTTTCTTCTTGAAAGGAACGTCACAGAGAACCGAGTCACTGTCGAGCTTAAGTGCGTGCTTGCAAGATGCCAATGAGTTGCGGTTGTGTTGACTCAGCAGGCGCTTGCAAACACTGATATCTGAGTATTCGGCACTTGAATACGAGTTTTCAAACGTAGAAAATCATTTCTGTATGAAGTGTAACTGAACATCGAAAGTAACACCTATAAGTAATTGTAATTCAGCGTAAAAAAAAAAAACGAGTAAGGGTTACCTTTGCCGGTATCCTTGGACTCGCCCAAGTTAATATCACTGCACGAATTCCTCCCCGTATTTCCCTAACGCTTTCACTATTGTCACTGCTGTCCATCCTCCCTCGTACCGGTGTCTTTTTTTTAACCTGAGTTACGTCTTCATTGACATTCTTTTCATGTCATTCCATTATAGACTTCCATTCTTTTCTATTTTATCGTTAATCTTCGTTGGCCATCTGCTTCATTCCATTTCCATCAATGTCCATTATTTCTTAATGGATGATATGATGTCCCTTTTCTTCTACGTTTTGCCATCAACAAACTTCTACGCACTATTTCCTCGTCAGATAACCTCTCTCTCCTCCGACACCATTATCATAAACATTAATTTCTAACTTCACTTTACAGATGTCCTCCTTCCGTTATCAGTTCCCAGCCTCTTTATCTTACCATCCATCTGCATCTCTCCTATATCTGTCATTCCTAACATTCGTCTCCTTTTTTTTTACATCTATTTCCTGTTTCTAAAACGAACTTCCATTCCCAATGTTTTATTCAAGTGAAATCCCTCATCGGCGCCTTCACGTCACACTATAGGAAAAACTGCAGATTAGACTATAGATACTGCTACCGGCTTAAGGATAGTAAGAGATATCGTGTCTTGCATAATCACGGTACGATTTCACATCAAAAGTAATGTTTATTAATTATATCTGCCAGTATCTATTCCCTCTATGCCAATATATTCCATCTCCTCCTTTCTCTCTACTTCCATCATCTCCCTCCATCCCTGTTATCAGTTTCCCTCTTCTCACTCCCTTCCTCTCACCATGCAAACATTTTCCATCCTCTTCCACCCATCCTGCCATCACTTCCATCCTCTCTCCTCCATCCTCCCATTACATCCTCCATCTCCCTCTCTTTCTGCCATCACTTCTATCCTCTCCCTCCCTCCCTTCATGCCAACATCCTTTCTCTCCCTCCCTCCCTGGCACCACTCCCAACCTCCCCCTCCCTCCCTGGCACCACTCCCAACCTCTCCTTCCCTCCCTGGCACCACTTCCAACCTCCCCCTCCCTCCCTGGCACCACTTCCAACCTCCCCCTCCCTCCCTGGCACCACTTCCAACCTCCCCCTCCCTCCCTGGCACCACTTCCAACCTCCCCCTTCCTCCCTGGCACCACTTCCAACCTCCCCCTCCCTCCCTGGCACCACTTCCAACCTCCCCCTCCCTCCCTGGCACCACTTCCAACCTCCCCCTCCCTCCCTGGCACCACTTCCAACCTCCCCCTCCCTCCCTGGCACCACTTCCAACCTCCCCCTCCCTCCCTGGCACCACTCCCATCCTCTCCTTCCCTCCCTGGCACCACTTCCAACCTCTCCTTCCCTCCCTGGCACCACTTCCAACCTCTCCTTCCCTCCCTGGCACCACTTCCAACCTCCCCCTCCCTCCCTGGCACCACTTCCAACCTCTCCTTCCTCCCTGGCACCACTTCCAACCTCTCCTTCCCTCCCTGGCACCACTTCCAACCTCCCCCTCCCTCCCTGGCACCACTTCCAACCTCCCCTCCCTCCCTGGCACCACTTCCAACCTCTCCTTCCCTCCCTGGCACCACTTCCAACCTCTCCTTCCTTCCCTGGCACCACTTCCAACCTCTCCTTCCTTCCCTGGCACCACTTCCAACCTCTCCTTCCTTCCCTGGCACCACTTCCAACCTCTCCCCTCCCTCCCTGGCACCACTTCCAACCTCTCCTTCCCTCCCTGGCACCACTTCCAACCTCCCCCTCCCTCCCTGGCACCACTTCCAACCTCCCCCTCCCTCCCTGGCACCACTTCCAACCTCCCCCTCCCTCCCTGGCACCACTTCCAACCTCCCCCTCCCTCCCTGGCACCACTTCCAACCTCCCCCTCCCTCCCTGGCACCACTTCCAACCTCCCCCTCCCTCCCTGGCACCACTTCCAACCTCCCCCTCCCTCCCTGGCACCACTTCCAACCTCCCCCTCCCTCCCTGGCACCACTTCCAACCTCCCCCTCCCTCCCTGGCACCACTTCCAACCTCCCCCTCCCTCCCTGGCACCACTTCCAACCTCCCCCTCCCTCCCTGGCACCACTTCCAACCTCCCCCTCCCTCCCTGGCACCACTTCCAACCTCCCCCTCCCTCCCTGGCACCACTTCCAACCTCCCCCTCCCTCCCTGGCACCACTTCCAACCTCCCCCTCCCTCCCTGGCACCACTTCCAACCTCCCCCTCCCTCCCTGGCACCACTTCCAACCTCCCCCTCCCTCCCTGGCACCACTTCCAACCTCCCCCTCCCTCCCTGGCACCACTTCCAACCTCCCCCTCCCTCCCTGGCACCACTTCCAACCTCCCCCTCCCTCCCTGGCACCACTTCCAACCTCCCCCTCCCTCCCTGGCACCACTTCCAACCTCCCCCTCCCTCCCTGGCACCACTTCCAACCTCCCCCTCCCTCCCTGGCACCACTTCCAACCTCCCCCTCCCTCCCTGACACCACTTCCAACCTCCCCCTCCCTCCCTGGCACCACTTCCAACCTCCCCCTCCCTCCCTGGCACCACTTCCAACCTCCCCCTCCCTCCCTGGCACCACTTCCAACCTCCCCCTCCCTCCCTGGCACCACTTCCAACCTCCCCCTCCCTCCCTGGCACCACTTCCAACCTCCCCCTCCCTCCCTGGCACCACTTCCAACCTCCCCCTCCCTCCCTGACACCACTTCCAACCTCCCCCTCCCTCCCTGGCACCACTTCCAACCTCCCCCTCCCTCCCTGGCAACACTTCCAACCTCCCCCTCCCTCCCTGACACCACTTCCAACCTCCCCCTCCCTCCCTGACACCACTTCCAACCTCCCCTCCCTCCCTGACACCACTTCCAACCTCCCCCTCCCTCCCTGACACCACTTCCAACCTCCCCCTCCCTCCCTGACACCACTTACAATCTCTCCCTTCTTCCCTGGCAACACTCCCATCCTCTCCCTCCCTCCCTGGCACTACTTCCAACCTCTCCCTTCTTCCCATCAATCTTCCTCCCTTGCTCCATCCTTGCCATCAACTTCCATCCTCTCCCTCCCTCTCTCTCCATACCAACCTCCATCCAATTCATTTTCATCTTTTCTCCCTTTAAGCTAACATTTCTGTTCCTCTTTCAAAATATTTTATGTAAAATATCAATAAATACTTGATCTGTTTATGGCATTATTTATCAGCTATATGTACCAACATGCTGCAAAAAGTTACTCAAATAGTTATAACAAATTCTAATCAATTCTAATCTAATCAGTTTTAAAAGACAATAATTTCAGCTGCCATAATCAATTACTTAAATGTAAAATGACTGTCAACTGTTTGTGATCAACATAATTCGCACTTTATAACAGAGCTTCACTCCTAACCCCTAAGGTTATCAGAGAACCCTTTGAAAAAAAATATAGGATGAAAAGTTAATAAAAGAATTTTTTTTAATCCAAAAAATCATCGCCCCATATATTTCATCACATTATCACTATACTCAATATTAATAAGCTATATCAACAGCCTATCAAGCACAATATATATACATATATGTATAATAATTCATTTAACCCACAATGTTATTTGTAATATATTACGGTATACATAAAAGCTTGAATTATTGCCACTTAACCTGTTTTTTATCCACATTCCTCACAATACATATGTTTATGACATTCACAATGCTTTCTGATCTTTGCCTTTTGTGGCTATATCAATAATATAAATCTTTATTTAGAACATGCCGTTTTTTTTTTTTTTATTTCAATGAAAACCACAATTCATCCGTATATACGAAACTAGCTGAAGCTTAATCTTGCTATAATATAAGTGAGAAAATTCTTTGGCCTTAGTAAGAGAACAAAGCAAGGAGGTTACAACTGCTTAGCAATTCACTATGGTGTTATACCATTGAAAATGGACTGGAGCAGAACACAGCCAGTATGCTTCCAAGAAGATTTTTTGGTTAATATTGCCGAGAACAACACAGAGATAGAGGGAAATGGACACTGTCATCTTATAGAGTATAAGAAATACAATAATAAGCAACACAGGTACAGGTGCAGCGACCTCCTATTTATGCAAAATGATGAACATATCTGGTGCATGTTACTGCTCAGAGCCGAAGCCACAACACCCTCACACAGCCAGAGTTCTTACTGTCGCGTTTTCTGTAATTTGGCACAAAGCGCTTATAAAGGGAAGTGCAGGGGTCATGTCTTGGGAATAAATAAAAGGCAGGAAAAGTTAGGTTTGGATTTTGGGTTCACAAGATAGCCTGGTTTTGGGACTTCTCTCTGCATCGCTCTTAGTAACAAATACCAAAAATTTAATTATAGGCACCGTAAATATTTACCTAGATAACAGTGCTAAACCCTAGAACATTTTCAAGAAGTGTGTTCTCTTTCAATAACATATAAACACAGAGCTAGCTACCAACAACTTCTCAACATCAGTACTTTATCCCCAAACTGAGATCAATGTAGGTTTTTAATATCCTATTACAAAAGTTTTCTGTGAATGTATTAATAAATCATTAATACCATTAACTTAATATTAATTTAATATCATTAAAATCATTAATCATTAATGTAGGTTTTTAATATCCTATTATACAAGTTCTCTGTGAATATATTAATAAAACATCAAAATCTACCTGAAAATTAAAAACGTTGCCAAATATACATACATTTTAAATATCAGTACAAATAATTGTCACAATCAAAGAGTACCTTTAAACTATTACTCTTTCCTTGCTATTGAAAAATTGTGCTAATATCCCTTACTGTTGTTTAGAATAATACACCCAATTTTTTCTCTTATAAATAAACTACCGGAGATACTCTTTTCTTTATATAAAACATGTAATCAACAAAATGTAGTAAAACATGCAAAGGAAACCGAACTGTTTGAAATTACTTCATCTTGATACCTGTTATCAACACGACATACGACAAAAAATAAGCATACCTTATCCCATTTCAACCACTCCTTGATTTTCTCATCGAGCACCGGATTTCCTGTATCGATCTTTAAGTCTGCCATTATGTAAATGACGAATAATTTGGTGAAATATGAAGGCCAGTCGGCAATTAAGCTTCCTTGTAAGCCGTCTCGCACTCGACTGGCAGGGCAGACGACGCGCCTTCTAAATTGTCAAATCCGTTCCAATAATATCTGGGTGTCTGGGTCATATATGCATTGTTCTTGTTCAATCGTGTTGTTGTTAGGAATGTTTATGGATAAAATTAAATTAAGGCTAAGGAATAAATAGTTTCTTGGTTTCTTTTTGATGGTCATGATGTGGACAATTCATACTCGTGCACGTATCAAGAAAGTGTTTTAAAAAGCACGTCAAGGTCACTCATAGGGTGACATTGAAAGAATGGTTCATACCGGTTTATTGCATTTTACTCTTGCTAATCCACCCGTTTTCTTCAGACAGAGCAATATATAGGTGATAGATTTTTAATAAAAAATCACTATTTAAAAATACAATTTTTTCACATCTTTAGGCAAAACATGAATGACAATTGGCCATGAATAATTTGGACAACCAAAATGTGTGGCATAACCAATAAAATAGCCTCATGGATGGAAATATATAAAATATCTGACTTTGATAATAAAAAGGGATGAAACATCACCACTGTAGTTTATATCTATTATACTGACAGACACATTATTTGAAACATTCAGTAATGTTTTAATTCCATATACATTAATATTTACAACATTCAGTAATGTTGCAGTTGCATGTCATGAACAATGTCACGAGTCGTAAATTACAACTCTTGCTGCAGTCATCATTTGTTTTTAATACAGGTTTTCCTAATTTTATTGACTGTTCTTATTGGACTAATAATATCTGTTGAACTTAAATGCACCATCTGATGGTACTGTCATTTGCAATAAATATCAGTTAATTCATATGTCTTATTGTACAAAACTGTGTGTGAAGACTAAAGTTCATTATGAAAAATATGATATTTGGTTTCTCCCCCAGAATTACCTTGATGCAGATCCAACATTAAAGGATATCAATCAAATTTCTTAGTCTGTGATGTGAACCTTTCAACGTCTTATCTTTTCTAGAAATGATGTCCAATTTTTTTTTATTTTGCAGCAGTAAAAGTTGTATTACTTGAATTTTTTTCATCACTACTACACCCCATTACTACTCATTACAGGCAATTAACTTCTTACTAAAAAAGGCTATTTATCATTTCATTATCTGTTTTAATAAAGGTACTCTAATGCAAGATTAAGCGACTCGTTACTGAGAATATTAAAGTCACCCCTCTGTTATTAGTTACTAAGAATATTGAAGTCTCCCCTCTTTTGTTATTTGATAATGAGAATATTGGTCTTTCTTGTATGTGCTTTCTTATTTCATTCTACCTGATATTATTTCATGGAATGCTAATTTTCCTTGCAATCAACAAGTAAGGTTTTAGCTTGCCTTCTCCTTTTTGGTCAGTACAAAGAAATTGTAAAATTTACTTGACATTTCTTTTCATTCAAGTATCTGGTGTGTTTGGTTTTGCTTTTGAAACATGTATAATCTGGATTTCAAGAATGTAATATCAACTCAATGCCACTGGGAAAATGCTGTGCTCATTTTTTTTCTTTTCTTTTCTTTTGTGAAATGTCTCAGCACACAGATGGCCCTGCAAGTGCTTAGCCAAAAAGGAGTCACTAGTAGACCTTGTGACCTTACCTGATTTCACCTTTCCTTGAATTGGCAGGTAGAACTCTTTTTCTTCTTTTTTTTATACACACTAATATTATGAATATTGATGGTGTTATTTTCATTATAGACATTACAATTACTATAATGCTATAGACATTAGTCAAAGCAATATAACAAAATATTTTCAAAAATCAAGGAAAAGGGTAAACAGGCAAGACAAGCAGTACTTGTAATTGGCTCATTGGTGACTAAGTACAAGTGTATCCATCTAATGAAGTAAAACTCACAGAGGGTATGCACATACGTACAATCCATGCGTCAGTTTTGGGTTAAGAAAGGATATGAAATGTGAAGAAACAACCGATGAACTTCAGTATATAATATGATGTTTCTGTGATGTTTATACATGATATTCACTTCAAACAAGTTATTTCTTTTTTGTTTTAGTGTTCAGGATAAAACAAGGATAACTCTGGAATCAATAGACTGGTTTAACTTTCAACATGTGTATATTGCTTTCTATATTTTCATCTCCTTTTTGTTATGGGTTATTCTGTATTATCATAAATGCATATATAGTAGAGTTTCTGAATGACACGAGGTTAACAGAAACTCTAATTCTTACTTAGAAAACAGTAGTTATACAGACCCATAACTACATCTAATACCTACTTCCCACAACTGTTTTGCTATAACCTTAATAAGCAAATAACTGGAGTTCAATTAACTCTTTTATCATTCAAAAAGTAGAAATATCTGACAAATGATATGAGACTTAATTTCTACCTCAATTCTATGATACATTGGCATATTCTGTATTATTGGTACTTCAGTGTTTCTTCTCTTGTACAAATGTCAGAGGAAATGGAAGCAACACAAATTCACTGGATGATGGTATCATTTCAATAAAATTTGTAGTCTTTAGAAAAAGACTAGTTGAAAAAAAAATCTTTAAGCATCATCCCTTCCAGAAGTTTGCAGAAAGATTGACCAATAGAATTACACAATAGTAAATGTACAAGAGAAGATAAAATTACTTGGAATGACAATACTGGTTATGGCAGAACTGAGGTTAGTGGAAGCCAAGTGCAATCCTTTTATCATGGAACTGTTCAAAGTGTAAAACATCATTACTCCAACTGATAAAGTTTTACCAGGTTAGGTACATATTCAGAAATACTTACATTTTATTCTACATGGGAATATTTGAACATGACCCTCACCAAAAGATGAGTATGTCATCATGTATATCTATTTACAAATTGCATTTCAAAGATGAGAACATTTACAAGACAAATTAACAAACATTCTGGCAACCTTTCGATAGTTACCACAAAGTGACAGGCTGTTGTACAAAGATGACTTACTGCCCCAGATTAAAGTAATTCAGCCAACTGAGATGATCAGAACAAAATGTAAACTAGGATGGAATCAGACAAAACACTTGTTATTATCATTTCATTTGCCAAAGTTAACGATTCTCTATAGGTTTATGAACAATATGTACATATCACATAATAACAATGCATCTATATAAAATATGAAAACCCATGTCCTTTGATGCAAGTGAGTTCTTAGTTAGATACAATTAACAGCCCATTGTTATCATGGTTAGACTTATGCTGATATTATTGGTTTAAAATGGATATATTTTGCACTGTCTGTAACACTATAGTCTTTAAGCTGCTAACTACTGAATACAATAAATCTGACTTAAACTGTTAATAATTTTGATGAAATACATTCAATCACATTTAAAACAATCACAAACTTATTGTATACAATAGTTGGAGCTTACAACCTATCTTGCCACATTTAGCTCATGTGATATTCTAAGCATGCTTATCATTGAAGTATGCCTGCTATAACAACCTTGATTCAGAAAACTTGCCTCACAGATGTTTTCATAAGTAATAAAAATAACTATTATTCCAATTTTTTTATCTAAACAAATAAGGATCCTCATAACTTTCAAAGTGCCTTGACAGCTGTAGCAGCAGCATGAGCCAGCAGAGCATCAGCTGCCTGGCGTGTTTCGAGGGTCAGCCTAGCCTCCTTGATCCAACTGGAGGCAACATTGCGGGCTTCTCCACGCAAAAGGTTCATGTAGCGTACACTCTGAAGGAGGTCGTCTTTGTCCAGGCAATATCTGGAAAAAATGAATAAATAAAATAAAAGAATAAGATCAGGTACAAAAACTATTTAACTCAATAGATTGAGAGTCAGACAGGGTCATTGAAGCACATAGGGGAGGGGTGGGGGAGGGGGAGAAGTAGGAGGAGGAGCAGGAGGAGAATAAGTAGGAGAAGTAGGAGGAGGAGCAGGAGGAGAAAAAGTAGGAGGAGCAGGAGGAGGAGGAGGAGGAGGAGGAGGAGGAGGAGGAGGAGGAGGAGGAGGAGGAGGAGGAGAAGAAGAAGAAGAAGAAGAAGAAGAAGAAGGAGGAGGAGCAGGACGAGAAGTAGGAGGAGGAGATGAAGAAGTAGTAGTAGTAAAAGAAAAAAAAAATAGTTTTTCAAAGGAGAAAATTTACTAAAATATCAAAAAGGCCTAAATCAAAATATTTAGCAGGTTTTGAATGGAATGGTCTCCTTAACACATCTTCATATACATATACTGGCATCTTTATCACTATCCATCATCTCACCTGGCTCTTGCTAAGATGTCATACACAGAGAGTGAATCAACTGGAACCTCTTCATCACGAACTTCACTGCCAGGCAAGTACTCAAAAGCATTTAGAATCAAGAAGCTTTGAACGTATGACAGCATGTACCTGGAAAGTCATGAGAAAAGAATGTTATCTTAATCCTTTTTCCTTTTCCAGAAGGGTGAATGTTTCAAATCTATAAAAAACAAAATACTGATTATCAACATCTTTTAAAATCACCATAAGATTTTTTAAATTCAATATGATTTGTGACTCACTTGATTAGAGATCCACCATTGTCTCCAATCATGGACACTCGCTTGCAGATTCTATCCACTTTAATGAAACGTTCTCTTAAGGCATCTTCTGTATATACACCACGGGTTCGAGCTTCTTCAGACACTGCACCTATCACTGCACTCAAATAAGAGTTTTCACCTGAAAATAAATATTTGAAAACTGTAGACTTAACAAGAATCAAGTAACAATCTGGTGCTGTATTTGTTCTTAAAAGCAAAATTAATTTTTTTTACTTCAAATTACTACATTATTAACCCATTACTGCCTGGAGCCCGTAATGTTCACTATGGTTTAGTTTAGACGGATCCTCCAGTGCTCATCCACCAAGGAATCAATTAGCAGACATATGTAACCTAACCTGATTTCCCCTTTCCTAAAGTTTTCAGGATTTTATTTTTTTATTCTATTAATATTGATGCTGTTATTATCATTACTGACATATTGTTACTAACTATACTAAAAAAAACAACAATAAAAATAATACTTCTAAAAATCAAGAAAATGGGTAAACAAGCAAGATAGGTAGAACTACAACTTGATTCATTGGTGACTTAGCACTAGTCCATCTGTATGGAAACACAAATAATAAACTAAACTTATAGTAGGCATAGCATGTACATACATGCCATCCCCAAACTGAAGCAACACAGTGAACATGGCATTGCAAAATCACATTCAGTTTGAAATATACAAATGAAAATGTCTGCCTTACCTCCAGCTGTTTTGATGGCAGTTATATGTTCATCTAGTGGTTTAAGCTGTTCCTCCCATGACTTGGCACCTTCCTTGCCTAGTCTGTTATGATGAAAATAATCTATAAGATCTATTTCAAAATCAAAGCATGATTATATGAGCTTGACACTATATTTCATTTGGATTATAATTATCT